TGATTGATTGTGTGTGTGTGTGTGCGCGCCGGGCGGAGGGGAGGGAGGACCCCTCCCCCACCAATCAATCAATCAATCAATCAATCAATCAATCAACCAATCAATCAATCAATCAATCAATGAATTAATCAATCATTTTTTTTTTTTATATATATATATATTTTTTGACATATCAAAAATCGCCCCCCCCCCAAATTTTCATTTTTTCAAATTTTTTTTGCACAGGCCGACAGCGGCCGACGTGCGCAGGCCGCGCACGCGCTCGGATCTCGAGGGCACGCGCCCACCTGCGCGCAAACTCGGGGTTTATTTTTTGGCCTCCCCCCCCACACATATATATATAGAGAGGGGTGTAGATAGGTTATGCGGACATTAGCAGTTATGGGTCATTATAGTTCTGAAGCAATTGTAATACGGTATGCAGGCAACATCGGAATGGCTGGTAGCATTCGGGGTGTAGCAGTACTTTTTTAGAGATTCCGTAGCATGTGTTTTGAAAAACCATTTTGTACAAGGCTGTGGATGGTTTGCTTTATTTCATCGGCAGCATGTTTGGCATCTGATTCAATTAGCATGATTGTGATGATTTGGGGTATTACTAAGTTGAGGGATTGCTGCATTGGTCTGTTGGAGTGGGCTTGGATGAACCTAGTGATGAGGAAGTTTAATTCTTTTCTTTTATCGTATTTGCATGTTTGGTATTGTCCAGTGAGTATGTTGGTAATCCGAATAGTTGTGTTGAGAAAGTTGGTTTTGGTGCCAACAGTTACGCCATTGATTTGAGTTTTTTCGGTGGTCTGTTCATTGAGGGTGATTAGTTGTAGGGGGTATAGGAATTATTTACTTCCAGGACTTGTGATCTCGGGGTTGAGAAATTCTTGTATTCTTGGGTTATTAAGAATGTGGAAGTCGTCAAAGTAGCGAAATACGTGTTGGAACAGGTGTAGTAGGTGCTTGTTGGCCTTGTTGGTTAATTTTCTCATGAATTTATATTCGTATTTCAAAAAGTAAATATTACACCATTCAGGTGAACAACTGACGCCCATTGGAATGCCGAGGATCTGTTTCCAGATGTTGCTGCCAAGAGATGTGTAAGCATTAGAGATCAGCCAGTCATTAATTGCAATAACCAAATTCTCGTTTAGTGAGAGAGAGCCATTTGGCGGGTTGTTGTACCAGTCGCAGTATGGGGTGAGCTGGTCGTTTTTGTAGTGAAATTTGAAGGCTAGTTGTACTGTTTTTCCATATATACGTCTTGCCTGCTGGAATGCCAGTTTCGTGAAAAACTGTATTGCGTTGGATAGCCCGTCGGGGCTGTCATCCGTCGGTATAGTTTCATAACACCTGCTAATATCTACAAAGAATACAGCAGATATGTGGTTCGGTATGTTGTTGATGTAATCTACAGTTGAGTCAATTGGCCACCAGTAAGGTCTTTTAGTCCGGTATCTGCAAAGGTCCGTTGTGTGAGGTGTCCGGAGTGGATTTTCACTGTTTTGATTAATGTTTTAAGTATTGCAGCAGTAAGGTCAGCGAGGGGGGAGGAGATAATGTCCGATGCATTAGTCAGCCACCGGAACAAGTTTTTGTATTTATGTCAAGGTGAGATCTTCTTGTAGGCGGATGAGCAGTTCGTTAGCTGTGATGGTGCATGGTTCAAAGTCTGGGCTAAAGAGTTTGAGGAACGCAAGGTACCTAATGAGAGTAACACATATTAAAACTGGTGTATTCGGGGCCTTGTCTGCGCCAACAATATAGAAATGTTTGGTAAGGAACTCAATTTCGTGTCTGATCCCGTGTTCGTGAAGGCTGGTTTCGTTGTGTGGTGTGTAGTTAGTGGTATTCTGAAGTATATAGTCAAGGAATTTTTTTTTTGCTTCGTATAGGGCGCTATCAGGGAAGGGCATTTCATTCCTTTCAAGAATGGTCTTGAGGTCAGCCCAAACTTGGTTTGCGGTTGCTAGGAAATCTACTTGCTTTGGTGTTTGCGGGGGGATGTGGTTAAGTCCCCAGCGTAGTAGTTTCTGGAGGTTCTTGTTGGTAACAATATTTAAATCCATTGTGATCACATGGGCAGGTTCATCTAGAGGGGTTAGCTCAGCGGGAAGGGGGTTAGTGAAGGTGGTATATCTAGGGTGTTGACAAAAACATTTATCTTGCATTTGGTTGAGCCACTCTCTAAGCGAGAAATCTCTGAAAACGGCGGCAGGTTTGTATAAGGATTTGGCAATGTGGTCATTGTATGTCCACAAGAATGTCAGTTTGTCAAGGAGGGGAAGCGCAGTGGGGTTGTGTTTTTGTATAATTTTTTCAAAAATCCTTTTAAAATTTATCCTGTCCATCAGGCGGTTTGGGTAATGGCAGGCAACTATTATTTTGTTGTTTTCCCTGTTGGTTTTCCAGCCAAGTCTTCCGTTGTCCATGGTCTGCAGTCGATGTACCGACACACGTTGCATTACACAACAGTTCAACTTATTTTCTTGGGATGCTTTTTTGGAAGCAAGTGGCTCAAGGAGGTACTTATCATGGCGAGTAGGTGCATTATTGGTCTGAGTGAGAAGTAGATTAGGAAGCGTTTCAGGGGGTGAGGGGCGGGGTTTTGAGTTCGTGGCATAGTTACAGAGAGTATGCTTGCTGTTAAGGTGGTAACTGGTTAAGGTATATACAGCGGTAAATTTATGAAGTTTGTGAGTGTCACAAGTTTTGGTACTGCAAAAAAGTGATTTATGCAAATTGCCTATTACTCAACCCCAAGGATATGGCGACCTAGCACATAGTTCGAATACAAGCTCACATTAAATGGCAGTGGCGCACGCATTCACACAACTCTCAGATCGTCACTATGCTGATCATACTGTTTACACAATCACAAGTCCAGGTTACCTTGGATATTTCATACTCAACATTCTCTGTATATGTGCACAAACGCCCACTGCCCTCAATTACAGTAATGGCGGCAATTGTCGTAGTCATAACTCGGGAGGCAATCAGAGTAGTATTGTATCAAAAGATTACCGCATAATAAACATCAGTAAACATGCAAAGGTTTCGGGGTAAGCGAGAGGAAGCCGGGCGGGAACCACTGGAACAGGCTGCTCATGGGGGGGGGGGTAAGTATACGAAGGGAAGGGGGTGAGCTGCAGGTATATGTGGAATTGAGAGGGGGGAAAAAAGCAAGGGAGAAGAGGTAGAGGAGAGTGGAACAAAAATTGACAATTGGGATGTCTCGTATTCCTCAAAAGAATGTTTTTGCTGGGCAGAATAAAGCAGCAGGGAACCAATTACGCATATGTATGCTTCTATACCTTCACCAATTATTGACAGCAACCTATTCTGTCATTTCGATGTATAGCCTACGTTCACGATTTTACGGGTTCTTAAGAAAGTGGAGGGTCAGTTATGGGACAAGAAGGGAGTCTAGCCTACGTTCATGATTTTACGGGTTCTTAAGAAAGTGGAGGGTCAGTTATGGGACAAGAAGGGGGTCTAGAGCTAGGTATAGTTATTGTAGGCTGCGTAGTCTAGGGAACCTATTAACTGTATGCAGTGCATGTGGAGTAAGCATCGCGGTCTGTATCTGGTGTAGAAAAGGTGTATAGCTGGGTAGCACATCTAGGCTCTAGCTGTACTAAAGAGCAGTAGAGGCGCAGAGAGCATTTAGCTTCTTGTGATGTTAGTAGTACCAATTAGGTAGTCAAAGCTCAGTCTACGGCAGACCCTCTTCCATGACTCTTGCGATGTAGCTGATTCGTCGGCAAGCGTTGCCGGGTCACTTGAAGTACAGAGCAGTGAGGAATCGGCACTACTGGCACCATAGTTGAATCTCAGGGCCTCGATTGCAGTACCAGGCCGTAGCGGTGTGTCTGGAGATGGGGAACTGATTGTGATGGGAAGCAGTGGACGGTCCCCATCGTTGATCTCGTTGCTGCTGACTTGGATGATCTCTGGGTTATCCTGCACTTCACCGCGAGCAGGGATCGAAGCATCATTGTTCCTCTGCGTCCATTGTTGCACCAGTTGTTCGGCCGATGGGTTCTATGCCTGTGGTGGGGGAGGGGCAGATGTGGTGGCTTCTCTTGCAGGGGCAGTTGCGGTTGGCGGGTGGTTGGGAGCAGTGGCTTGATGTGAGGGTGGTACGGAGGGCAGGGGAACAGTGGTGCTGCGAGGATGTTCAGCCGATGCGCTTGAGCATTGAACACATCATACATGTTAGGTTGGCGGTCATCATACTGTGGCTGATTTTGCCTTCCTTGCCTTGTTTCGTGCTTGCTGCCAACGAGAGGGAGTGATCTGCAGGTTTTGTTACGTTTGCGGGTGTTCCTTCTAGCAGGTACGGGAAGTGGGTTCATGGCTATGCATGTAGCTGTTCTTTGCGAAGAGCCCGTCTCCGAGCCTCTGCGTCGGGGTTGGGGGCAATAGGAGTCGTTGTAGCAGCACTAGCGAGGTGCGGAAGTGTCGAAGCAGGCGGAGTGTTTGAGGCAGGTTGTGCGGAGCATGAGCCGGCGAGATTATGTGTGGAGCTGAGAGGAGTGAGTTGCCTAAGGTTAGCGGGGAGCATGGCGGAATTTCTGGCAGCTAGCTGTGCAGCGGCGAAGGTGAACATGTTGGGTTGTGCGAGGGACGTGTTTTGTGTTGTTGATAGGGGATGGTTTGGGGGTGTAATGGTAGGTGGCGGTCGTGTGTTGTCTTGTGCGTTTGGCTGGGGGTGGGGAATTGCGCACTGGGACGTGCTTCTGGCTGACTGCGGAGGAACGTGCATGTGCTGTTGTGCGTGTGTGCTGCGGTCAGGCGCCGTGCTGTGCGGCAGGGGTCCAGGTGTTTGTGTCTGTAGTGAAGCGTGGCCAGGTATTGGGGCAGTGCCAGCAAGTGTGCCGGGTATGTTGGCAGGTGAGAAAATGTTAGGTGTACTGTGCACAGCGGGATGAGCCGGCGTGTGTACCGTGGCAGAGCCTGAGGTTGGGGTCTGTGTTTGCTGTGGGGTGTCAGCCTGGGAGTTGGAAGCAGTGCGGGGGCCGATGCTGGGTGTCCCAAGTCGCATTTGTCAACATCTGCGCAGCGAATTGTCTTCGAAGTCGATACTGTCGTTTCTCCTGCTTGGTGCCTGCGCGAGTAACCCTTCTGCATTAGGAAGAAGAGCAGCGGTGAACTTTCGTACGAAAGGCACGTCTTTGAAGTCGTCAAAGCTGAGGATTTCTTTGAGAGTGATGTTTTTGTTCTGTGTGACAAGGTGCAGAATCTTGAGCATGTACTCCCTCATGAAGATAAATGTAATCTGAGCCAGGATAGGTTTCTTCCAGGAGGTCCACAACAACGCTTGGAATTCCAACATCGTGATCTTGTCTGATGGCGCCAGCGGGTCTAGCTTCTCAAGGTTACCGATGACGTACCAGATCATGTGATCCAGCCATGTGAAGTTTATTTCACAGCCTGGGCAGGGGCATTTGAGAAATGGCCTACCGACATTCCAGACCTTCTTCAGCTTCAGCAGGTCTGTGGGGAATTTTTGGATCCCTTTCTGGTGCAGCAGCAGCCTTTGGGAGCATTTGCCATTTTCAAGGCTTGAAATCGGAGGAAAATCCGCATCAAGTCCAGTTCTTCCAGCAGGGAAGTATATGGTGCCATTCTGGGCAGCGGTACGACAGTTGTCAATGTCGGCATCAGTTAGGCCAGCAAGAGCCATGTATGCATCGACACTGATTGGTGCAGTGTAGTTGAACGTGTCCAATTTCCACAGTCGGTTATGGACACGCTGCACTGCTTTCTCCGTCCAGGTACTCGATGCCAACGGGAGGAAGGGACTGCTCTTCACAAACTTGTGGCTGGTGTCCCTAGTGGAAGTGGTGATGTCGATATGGGCAGCCTCTCTTCTTATGGCTTCCTTTCGTTTGAAGTACTCTAGCTCGGCAGGCGTAAGGTCGATGCTGCTGATGTAGATGTCGGTGAAGGTGTCAGCAGTATCGTTGGTGGAGACCTGGCCAACGGTGTCTAGATGCGACGTGTCATAGCCATGAAGGTCAACGATGACTTTCTGGGCCTTCGCGACGATGAGGTTGAGTTCTCTATTCTCAATTGCGGCCTGCTTGCAAACTTCCACAATGTTGGAGGCCAACTCCTTGATCTTGTCAGACAACTCCTGGGGTCTGGTCTTCATGACAGCGAGTAGTGATGCCCAGTCACTGAAGGACATGTTCTCTATCAAGAAGGGTGCTTGCCCATTTGTAGCATCATGCACTTGGAGCAGTACATCGGCAGGTATAGCCAGCATGGCTATTTGACAGTGTACGATGGGCGGTTTGAGCATGGAGAACGGTCTAATACTGGTGACCAGTTCAGGGTGACAGCCCATTAGAATACTGTCTTGGTCCTGCACACGTAACATGCGAGTCACGAGGTTAGTACTACTGACGTAATGTGTGAGCAAGAAAGGCAGTGCCAAGCCTGGCAAGGGAACGAATATTATTTTATTTTTTAATTATTTTATTTTATAAGGCAGGATTATGGTTGTATATGTAAAGAGCGTTATCGGTCAGGTTTAAGGTATAGGTTGGGGTTCTTTCTGTAGGGTGTTATGGACATTCAGCGGGTTGTTTTTATGGGGGGTAGTACGGGGCCCGGGCGGTAATCCTGTGTTGTATCATAGGTTTAAATTTATTATGTCACCATATTTTAGGGAGAAGTTATTGAAGTATAGTTTATTAGGGAGTATTGTTATCGGTATTGTCGGGGTCCAAAATCAAGCATATTAGAGTCTCGGCGGAGTAGTGATCCGAAGGGTGTGAGGCACATTTTCATAGAGCATTAGCGGTGACTACGATTCGGGGGACGCAATTGCAGCTAGGGGGGTTCTTTAAGTAGATGTGGTACCGAGGGGTAATTTTTGGTTGTATGGTTCGATATGGGAACATGGTTATTAGTATGCTGAGGCCGGTGACCGCTAGGGGTATGGTGCAAGGGATGAAGGATGCTTTATATAGTGCAGTACAGATCAAGCCCACGAAGCAAAGCTGTGTGCAACACGGTGGACACAGCAAGGGTGTCGTACATTGTTGTGTTGCTACGCAAGCATAGAGTGTTTTGAAGGTACTTTCATTCAGTCCGAGGAGTTGGAAGGTGCAGGTAGAAACGAAGCAGAGCAGGAAGCAAAGTCGGGTCAGGAAAGGTGGGGAGAAGGAGGCAAGAGAATTGGGAAGGGGGAAGGCAAATTTGTGCAGATTTCCTTGACGTCCATTGGGCTAAAGTTAGGGAGGGTGCTTTGTACGCCAAGGCGTTTGGATAGTGCAAGATGGAGTTTGTTACTGTTTTTCATGGATTGGTGCATCAGGATACAGTTATGGTGGTGGAGCTTCAGCATCTTCGCGATAGTCAGAAGGGAGGAGAGCGGTGGGGTAAGGCTCCAGAAGGTCTCCCGGACCTATGATGTGAGCGTGAATGGTCGTATCATGATACGTGTGAGGGCAGAATCTAGCTATCTTCAGTGGTCATTAGTGTCCATTGGTTTTGAGTTGGAGCGGTTTGGAGAGGGGGTGTCTATTGACGAGCAGGCAGGGGATGAGCGCATACTGCGGGGTATACTGGAGGTTATAGTTACGGTGATCGCGGCTGAACATCGGTCTTATATTGTTGATTGTGCGGTTTGGCGAGCATATGTAGGTGCCCCCTTCGCCTCACGTGAAGTAAGCGGTATGATATAGGAATATTCTTGGGGACGCTGAGGCAACGCATGGTATGGCACGTGGCAAGCATCATGGGAACGTTTGTGGGGGCGGTGCGACATTCGCGAGATTATTGTTACAGTGATCGCGGTTGTTAATCGGTATTATTTTGTTGATTGTGTGGTTTGGCGAGCATATGTAGTTGCTCCCCTCGTTTCTCGTAAAGTACGCGGTATGATACAGGAATATCTTTGGGGGCGCTGAGGCTACGCATGGTATGGAATGTGGTAAGCATCACAGGAAAGATCATGGGGGCAGTACGACTCTCCTGAGGATCATCGGGAATTGTGAGCAACTTTTAATTGTACGATTATAAATCAGGCGAGACGTAGAGGATCGGTGTGATTTAGAGGGGAGAAATTATAGAGATGGAAAACATGGAGAGAGTGTGTAAGCGGGTTGGGGGAGGTGTTGGGGTCAAGGGTTGTTTAGTGTGGGGAAAGAGACGGCGAGAGAGAGAGAGAGAGAGAGAGAGAGAGAGAGAGAGAGAGAGAGAGAGAGAGAGAGAGAGAGAGAGAGAGAGAGAGAAGGTAAGGGAGAGCGGAGGGGTGTATGCCTAGTATGTCGTAAATATTTAGCGTGTCATTTCATGTACCTTTTTAGCGTATTGTTTTGGAATGAAAGGGGGAAGGGGTAAGGGGGAGCATTTTCTTGCAGGGGTGTTTTTGTTCTATGTGTATATGAGTGTGTGCGATGTAGATATATGATAGCAAGGAACTCGTTTTGTTTTCCGGTAGTCCTCTACATCCTTCAGCCTATAAGGCAGTAAAGATCTACCACATTTATGCATAGCTCATCAGGGGGTTGTCTTGGCATGGTTACGCAGATTACAATATGCTTGAGTATGCATGTGTGGACCGGATGTGGTGTATACTGCCAGAATAATTTTCACCACATGCCACGTGTTCATGGAAAACAAACATCCGTCAGTGCGTTGTGCGGGTTATCAACCATTAGACAAAGGTTTACCTAAAAGTCATGATTAGATATCCACGAAATCGTTCAAGGAATTATAAGGTGCAGGCAGAACCGATGCATCTGCGTCGTGTATAGAATAGCTTATACCCTTCTGGATTAACACCAGCGTACCGAAATCAGATACTAATGCTAGTAAGTATACGGGAAGCGATCTTTTCTCGTTTCTTCATGATCTGACCTCACCATGGCCATACCGGTATTTGTCGCAAACATGATACGAAAAATATGCATAACTTTGCGCCATCTAATTTACATGTGATAACACCATCTTGTTTTAACAAATATGTCCAAGCAAGTAAAGGGGTGGTTTTGAGCGAGGGTTTGTCTACCGAAGCAAATACTTCAAGCAACAGAGTTCATGGTCTTGCGACTTGTCCAGATCTTCGCCAGAGTACCGAAAGCACAAATACACATACCTACGTTTGTAAATATAAGGGAAGCGATCTATTCTCGTTCCTTCGTGATCGGACCACACCAATGGCCATACCGACGTTTGTCGTATAGCAGATATGAGAAAACAAAAACAAAAAAACATCTGCAAAAACTTTGCAGCGTCTAATTTATGTATGATGACTCCGTCACGTTTTAACAATTATGTCCTGCAGGGGAGGTCCCGAACATGTAAGGGGTGGTTTAGAGCAGGGGTCTGTCCACTCCATAAGATACTTAAAAAGTCAAAGGAGATACGTGGGAGAGGTGTAAGGGCGATCAGGTGCAACGGCTTGTTTAGAGAGCCAGATATGCAGATATTATTTGTTGTAGGCCAATAAGAGTTTTTTTTCAGTAAGCGATTAATATAGCAGGCAATTTATGAGTCATAACTAATCATGTAATTAAATTGCATATTTTTTTGTTACTAATGTACCCGTAGCGTTGCGGATATCATCCCGTCATCTTTTGCTAAGTTTCTGATCAGTTGCTCAGCTTAATCTTAATGCACATCAATTTGCTACATTATAAGCACATGTGGTTGCCACAGCTAACCGCTATTGGGTGGGTATCTGGAACGTTGTGCGTAGTGTAGCTAATTAACTCGCCAGTAACAAAGATATTTTTGGTGGTCATCATGCAGTTTATGAACCAGTTGTCGGGCCCAATAGCAAGTGCAGATAGCATATTTTACATATGAATTCGATCGGGGGTAGATAGTGTATAAGCAGTAGAGTAATGCGTGCATCACTTAGACCATCCCGATCAGGTAAGGTAGGGTCGATGTCGGAAGATCCGGTGGAAGTGATGGCGATAAGAGAGCAGGAGGAGAGACTTTTTAGCAAGGCAACGATCCAGTCAAGAACCAGAGGCAGGAAGGTGGAGGCGAGCGGGATGGTCATTTAGGAGTGAGGAAGAACATTATGGGAAATGGAGGGGAAGGAGAGGCGGGGCTCGGAGGGGCACGTGCGTGGGCAAAGAAGGGCGGTTGCTGTTTAGGGGAAAGGTTGTAAGATTAAATCTGTTTAGTAGAACGTATGTAGGATGAGGATGTCATGGCCTTTCGCATATCGCGCAGATAGCCTTTGTATACTAACAAGGCGCAAAAGCATGTTGTACTGTATTTCGAGGTACCAGTCTCTTTCGGACGAGATTCTCCCGTAGCCATCCTTACTTATCAAGTCCACAAAACAAGCCTCAACTTGATTAGCCGAGCTCCATGGATATGATTAATCGATCATCTATTAACCAATAAACGCAGCCGAATGACAACTTATCCGAGGTTAAACACTAAGTTAATGGGGCGAACATTTTTACTCAGAAATTGAACAGCCATTCAGGCGTACATTCGTATTATTTGCACGATTTGAGAGTAGTCCATACTTATACGTATCAGGCCGGTAGGTGGTAAGGCAACGAAGCAATCAACAAAAACTTCGTTGGTCATACAGTCGTATAGTAAACTAGAAACCTATCAATTATAACAGCCCATCAACCTCAAGAGTAAGATGTGAGAAAGGTACAACCAACCGGTGCAGTGAACATATAGAACAGACATCATCGTCCCAAACTGTGGTCAGTCAATCCATCAAGCAACAACCAAGGCGAGGGTCATAAGCACAACAGGACATGTTACCATTCGTTAATGGTGTGTCCTCTTTGATGAAGTAATTAATCGACAGCGCATCAGGGCAAGCATACACGATTTTGAAAAAGAGTTATGTTGATCTACTAAACAAGGGGTCACGGTGATACAGGGAGGTGCATTACGCATGCTGGTGAACAATGCGGGTGGTTTCACGGTGTGCGGTATAAGGTTAAGGGGTAGCGAGGAAGATATAGTGATAAGATTTAAATTGGCTGATCATAAAAGCTCATAGTAATGAGTTTTGGATGTAAAGCTATAGGGTATAATCGTGGAGGTCTGCGGTTGTGGATAGAATGTCCTAAGTACAAACAAAGAATATTGGTCTCTTAGTGTGGGATTCAGCCATTTGCCGGGTGAGTGGAAGGAATATTGTGGAGTTGGTGTATGATGTCAGTGCAACCCCTATGGGCTTAGGCAAGTTATCATCGCATTTACCGGTAGCGCTAGGCGAGCCAGCAACAATGTTAATCTAACAAATTGGTGTTGAGAAACGGCGACTCTGAAAGCAATGCAGCAGGTTCGAAAAAAAAAACAGAAATATGTAACGACAGACAAAATGAGAAAGAAGAAATAAAAAA